CCATAATAGATATTTATTCTTTATTCTTGAAATGGTGAAGGATGGCAAGGACAAAGTAAACTTAGAAGGAAACCTCCAATAGAGATGAATATCTTCCCAACTATTCTAAGTTTATTATAATAACTCTAGACATGATCCCTCCTCTAGTGCCAGGACCTTATTTATAATAAAGTAAGTGCATCAATATAAATGACCGATCCTTTAAATTATGCTGCTGCTCCACCTATTAATTATCAATTCCTCTAATTGTGATACCCCATTACGGGTTTGCTTCTAATTTTCTCCCATAATTATTTGATTGCCTTTCCTTTTCGTGGAGTGCGCTAGCCACCCCTTTGTATGTGTATCAGGTGCATTTTGCAGAAAGTGTTTGATAGGAACCAACCTCATAATAAAAATAATAAAATATTAATAATAATAAGTGTACGGGTAGTATAAATAGAAGGGAAGGTGGGAATAAAGAGGTTAGGCAGAAATTGGGCTTGGAATAGGACTGGGAGAGAAGAGGCACTCTCGAACTTGCCTCATCTGTATTTTTCTTCTCCGTTTCTGCACTTTTGCTTCTTAATAGACGTCAATTTACCGTACGAATCTGGAGTTCCTATCATTGGTATAAGAGCATCAACGAACGCTGGAGCAGAGAGGACTGTTACGCGTGCACAGATGGAGAATAGCACTGGAAGTGTCGAACACCATGTTACGAAGATGGAAGCGATGCTGGATGAGATGATAAATCATCTGCGTAAACAGCGTCACCGGAGACCTAGAGGCCGAGCGGGGAGCCCTCCTAGACGCCGTCGGCCAACTGAAAATCAGGTAACATCGTTCGTCGGTCTTCCTTCGCAAACGCGGATGGCTTCTTCCATTTCGCAGTCGCGAACTTCGTCTTACAGTTCGCAATCGCGAACTTCATTTCCCCGTTTGCTGACTTCATCTCTAGCTTCGCCTAGTTTGCAGTCGTGAACCGCGTCTTCTCCCAGTTCGTTGCGAACTATTTCTCCTCGCCGATCTTCATCTCCAGCAGCTTCATCCTGTTGGCCAGCTTCACAACGAACAATAACTTCTAATTCTCAGATTTCATCGCAAACAGATCTCCCGGGTTTGAAGGTTTCATCCCACGCCTCTTCTCACAGTGCTCAAGTTTCATCGCCCACAATGAAGTTGAGGCCGGCTGAACCATCAATCAAGGAACCAGGTCCGGATGTTGATATGACTCAAACTACAGGATATCTGCCAAATTATCCAGAAGATTTGAAACAGCGTGAGAGGGATGAAAATGGATTTCGTTCGGGAAAAGTGAAAGAGCAATTGCGAAGGCCACTGGAGAATCAGGTAAAAATCACAGAAAACAGAGAGGAGGATTCAAGCACCTGAGTGGAAATCCGATATTACTGTGAATGCTGGCCCTGATGTTTTTGTATCTATAACTGGGCCCAATCCCATAATGGATCAGTCACAACTCTTTCTAGTAGGGAGAGGAATTGGTGCATGATCACCTACAACTGTGTTGCTGAAACCGGGGCAGGCTGTTTTTGGAGTACCTAATGGGGATGATTCCAATCAACGAGGCGCTGATGGCACTAGAAATTCTACCACAAGGGTTTTGGAGGTTCAGGAACCTCCTATTAGGACTATGTTTGGAGTTGCCCTCCGTCATAGTTCAACAGGTGAAATGGCAAACGGAATTGAAGTTTTATTTAGTTCAATGTTCCCTGATAAGCGGATTCAGGTTGTGGAGAATGCTGGTGTTCACAGTATGAATACATACTCTGCTACTGGGAAGTATGGAATTACTCAAAACTTTGCTTCTAAAGAGACTGAAGCAACTACACCCTTCAGAAAGCTTATGTCTATTGAGCCTAGCCTTCCGATTAATGAGGTGATTAAAGCAGGAGTTATTCCCAGTTTTGAATATTTCCTTGGAAGGAGTGACTTACCCCAATGGCAATCTGCAGTTGCTTGGGCACTGACAAATGTCGCATCTGGGACAATCAAACATACAAGGGCTGTCATGGAACAGGGGGTTGTTCCTAATTTTATAAAGCCTTTTAATTCACTCAATGATGGTGTTCGTGAGCAGGCTGTCTGGGCTCTGAGAATGTTGCTGGAGATGCCCTAAACTGTCAGAGGCAAACCACCAACACCAATTGACCTGGTCAAAGCTGCTTGCCAGTTGTTCATCAATTGATCCATATGCAGGATGAAGAAGTCATGACAGATGTTTGTCGAGCAGATGAGCACTTTCACAGCTTTTAACTGTTCAGACTCGGGAATCACTGGGCCACATATCAAGGACGTAATTGCATCAATCACCAACCTATGTGAGCATACATCTGATGAAACTATGCATCTAGTGCTTGGGATACTACAGGCTGCAGTCAGGGCAGACCCTCCTGCCAGCCTTTCTGCTTTAGAAGTTTTAGAGGCAATCAAAACTGCTCCTGATTACATCCAGCTTTTGCTTTCTCAAATTTTACTTTATAGTGGACAAATGCTGACACAACCACACCAGCGGCCTGAAGGGATAATTCTCCAAAGTGATGAGGCTCAAAGTGAGATGCAAGATTTACTAGGATGGAGTGGAATTCCAAAGGTGAAAGAAGTGAAGAGTGAGACATACAGTCCCAAAGCTGACTTTGTTTTCTCAAATGGAGATTCTGTAGGAGATCGGACATATAGCGTTGAGAGGATACCGAAAAGAAGAAAAATATCCAAGCTGAAGTACTGAGAAGGGAGAGGTTCAAGAATGAAGATGAAGCTGAAGGTCAAGGCGGTTTTCTATCACCCACCTTGAGGACAAGGTGGTTGTTTAAGGGGGGAGAAATGATAGGAACCAACCTCATAATAAAAATAATGAAATAATAATAATAATAAGTGTATGGGTAGTATAAATAGAAGGGAAGGGAGGAATAAAGAGGTTAGGCAGAAATTGGGTTTGGAATAGGACTGGGAGAGAAGTGGCACTCTCGAACTTGCCTCATCTGTAATTTTCTTCTCCGTTTCTGCGCTTTTACTTCTTAATAGACGTCAATTTACTGTACGAATCTGGAGTTCCTATCAGTGTTGGAGTCTCTTGCCATTGTTATAATGCTGTGTATGAGGGGTTAAACTTTTGTCACAATGAAGGGACTTTAATATCCTGTGGAGCTGGAATCAGTTGATTATTGTTTTTTCCAATATTTTGTGCTTGCAATTAAATCTTGGACCTAGGAACAGTACTTGAAATCTTCTTTAAACTGAACATAATTAATAATAAATAATGCATACAAATAGTAGTAAGAATTGTGAATTTGTGATTAAAATATTGTGAGATTCCACGCTACTTATGTCATCCTAATTTGGATTCCTCCACACTCATCAAGGCAAAACTAGGGAAGAAAATTACTGCAAGAGGGGCTCTCTGAAAAAGCAGCAGCCAGACAATTTCATTTTCTCTATGAGCTTCCCCCCTTCAAAGCGGAAAAACATTTTGGGACGGGGGAGTAATAAATCTAAACTATGCTGTGATTAGGCAATTAGTATCAAATTGATTGAGATGAGATAAGGGCTTGGAAAATGTGGCGGAGAAGGAGAGGTTTAATTTGTGTATCCTTTGTTTGCTTCCGATGGTTATGGATTGACTTAAAAAGTTTCCTTTCAAGTGTCAACTAAATAGCATTCTCTATATTTCTTAACGATTTTACTGAAAAAGCTTTATGAATTGCTGGGGTTAAATTGTCGTTCTATCCACAAAAAACATGCCATACATATCATTATGTAGAAGGGGACCTTGACGCATTGGTTGAGGTGTTGCTATGTTACCAACCGAAAGGTCATGGGTTCAAGTCTTGAGAGCTGCCTCTTGTCAAAATTTAATTGGGGAAGGCTTACCCTGATGGAGTTCTGGAACTAGGCCCAGAGCCTAATCGGCCCAAACCCTGAACTTGGACCATTGGTCCCAAGCCCACAACCTGGAGCCTGCCTATCAGCCCAGACGGGAGCCTGCCAGCCCGGCCGACCTGACAGTCAGGAAGAATAACGGTCAAGCAATTAATGTGTTGTTTAATTATGTATTTAATTTTGTATTAATGTTATAATTAATTAGTCATTATTATTGATAGCGGGTTATGACTTTGGAAGGTGGGTATTCGTGTGGAGGAGTGATCTCGTATATCTTTTTCCCTCATCTTTTTTCCTTGTTTTTTATCCTTATATATATAAGCATTATTTGTATCCTTTTTATTTTATCATTTCTATGTATATTCATCTCTTTTTATATTATCTTTTTATAATAGCTTATCTTTTTTTATCTTTATTTCCTTTTTTTTCCTTTTGGTGGTGATATCATGTATCGATTCATGTTAGCCGATCCCAATATCTTTTGGGACTAAGGCTTGGATGTTGTTGTTGTATTATTGATAGCGGTTATGATTTGTATACGTCTATAAAAGGCAGCTTGTAATTCAAATTAGAGAGCGATTTCTATATGCTATTCTTGGCAACTAAACTTTCTTAGCACTTTCCATTCTCATGTTATTTTCTTGATTCCTGCTTGAGTGTATGTCGTAGTTTTCCCAAAAGTCTACGAGCGTCCTTTTTTGGACCAACATACCCCTTATACACCCTTGTGTTGGGACCCTTCCTCAGATCCTTGCCTTGCGGAGATGCCTTTGTGCACCGGGCTGCCGTTTACATCTCAATGTGTCATTACATATTTTAAGGTTAATTTTCATCACGACCCCCTCGGCCCCGCCATGAGATTACAACTCTACAAATGATCCCAAAAGGGTTTAATTTGTCACTAAGAGCTTTGAAATACTGTTACCTTTTTTGTCATGTGAAGTGATCTTGGAATAGCTGCAAGCCTGCAAGTCCCTTGATAAATCGGCCGAAACAACCATATAGTTTGTTCCTTGAAAGTTTTGTATGAAAACTTTGAAAATACTTTGGTTGATTGCTCAGCTTTTCGCCTTTTCTTGAAGTTTTTCACTTGAGCTTTTCTATGGCTTGGCACATCGCAGATCACGGGCCAGCTGGATATGCACTTTTTGTTGTGTTTTATGCTGCATTGGAAGTAAGATTTACTCTTTTATTATATGTTTACAAGACGGCTTAAAGATTCTTTTACTAGATTTATCTTTGTGAAAAAGACAAAACTTTATTGATGTATAATTGTATGCTTCTTTCACACAAAACCAGCTGATCCCTCATCTGAGATGCAGCGTGAGATAGATACTTTTAAATACTTGTCACGAGAAGAATAACAGTAATTTGTGGAAAGTTGAGTAGTTGTTATATTCATAACCTGATGAAAATATAGTAACACCCCACCCCATGTCCCCACCCCACCCAAGCCGGTCCAGCCCAATCAAGCGGGTTGTTACGGAAGGGGAATCCCTAAATCCAAATTAAACCCAACCAAGAAGTCCAAGATTCTTTCGGTTAGGCCCGCATCAAGGGCATTACAGAGATACTAATTGGAATTGTTACAATTGATCTTAAGCTCCTATCATTCAGCTAATCCTATCATTTCCTTGCTTTTTTTGTTTAGATCCTTGCAATACCGGCCATACCATTGACCCTCACTGCTGGCCTTCTTTTTGGTTCTGTCACTGGAACCATTATTGTTTCTATCAGTGGAACTGTAAGCTTCTGAGTTTCTAGTCTAAAGATCCTTTAGAGTTAGTTTGGATGGAGGGTTTTAGAAGGGAAGGCTTTTGAGGTCTTAGTAAATAGAATGTTTCCAAAAACAAATAAAGGGTGATTGGAGTCTTATATGACACCTGTTATGTTATTCCTGCATTTGTATAAATCTCAAAGATTTATCAAGATATAGATTTAGCCCGCCAAAACCCTCCATCCAAACCGATCTAAAGAATTGGTTGTGATTACCTCATAGGCTTGAACTCATTTCTTCCATTTCTTTCAGATGGCTGCAAGTGTTTCATTTCTTATTGCCAGATATTTTGCTCGTGATCGCATCCTCAAATTAGTTGAAGGGAACAAGAAGTTTCTTGCCATTGACAATGCTATTGGAGAGAATGGTTTTAAAGTTGTTACTCTTCTCCGGTTGAGCCCTTTGCTTCCATTTTCTCTTGGGAATTATTTGTATGGGCTTACTTCTGTTAAGTTCGTACCATATGTTTTAGGAAGGTCTGTCTCCTATTCATTATTATGTCCTAAAAGCATGTGATTATGTTTTACAGTTCAATGATCCCCCCCCCCCCCCCCCCCGAGTACATAAGATTTTTTCCATTTTCATCACGCCATGATTGTTTTGATGTATGTGTAGCAAAATTTTAGTGCAATTGGCACTTAAGTGGAAAGAAGTGTCCTGGGTTATAATTTTTAAGAAACTTGATGAAAATAAGAAACTTGATGAAAATGAAGTTTGCTTGACATACACATTGTCATCATAGCTAAAGCCCTGGAACTCATCCATGTTTATTGCCATTATAATTTATAAGCTTGTGATAATCATTTATTTACATATTTGGTTAGTGTTTAGATGTTAATTGACATGCAAAAGTTAAAAAACTGTTATTTTGAAGTGGCTGCATCAACCCATCTGGTGCCATGTTGTTTCATGATTCAGAACTCATGTGTGTTCATCTCTGCTTCATGCATATTTTCAGAAATGAGGAGTTAATTAGATCTTATGCTACCTTGAAGTCCCCTTATGGGTATCCCAACTCTTTAGGTGTTATGAATCTATTCTTGGAAAATCACTTGAATATTTGCATGCAGTTGGTTAGGTATGCTACCTGGCACATGGGCTTATGTGAGTGCAGCTGCATTAAGCCGTGCAATCGTTGTAAGTAATTGCTTCAGTTTTTCCATTTATTTATGTGTAGAGTTATTCCTTACAGTGTGGATGTGTTTACTTGTTTTGCAATGAGGCATTTGCTTGCAGCATCACTGAGTTGAGTGACTGTGCACCTGCTCAATATTGTACTTTTTAAAAGTTTCCACTTGGACAGTACGCACCAGGCCCTGCCTAAAGAATTTTCTCTTTGCCTCAAATTAATAACATGATTTGATCTGATCTTTTTATGGTTTGGTCTGAATCTTTGTGGTCCGATATGAATGGTTATGATATTTACTGATTTTTTTCACTGGAATATGAATCTGGTCTTGTGATGCTTGGTCAGAATCTTTCCGATACAGTATTCTACTCTATCTTATTTAAAATAGAATCAGTAGTGTATTCAAAATTTGAATAACAATTCCTAGTTTCACCTGGATCCCACTTAACTAACATTGACTCCTGACTAATCGCATCTTACAACATTGCTCTTTGGTGCTCTATTTTCTTAAACTAATAATGTACCCATAAATAGCTTTAGGCAAGTAATATAGACACTTTAAATTTCATGCCACAAACAAAACCCGTTACTAGTTTTGGAATTTAGACAAGTAATATAGACACTAAATTTTATTCCACGAACACTCCAACATATGGTACTATTTTGAGCAGCAAGATGGGTCTGAGATTGCTCTAGGAGGAGGGAAGGGTATATTGACCCTTGGATTAGGCCTACTATTAACTGCTGCAGCTGCAGCTTATATAACGCGGCTCGCTAAGGTAAACCCATCCATCCCTACATTAAAAACACAATTTAGATTATGTCTTTGTTAAGAATCTCATTTTAACATTCTCTATGATGCAGGATGCTGTAAAGGATATCGAATAGAGTCAAAATATTTTCTGCTAATTATTTACGGTATACATCCAATGTTATGCTTTATGATCTTCCACGTGTGAAACCAAGTGCTTAGTTGATTACTCTTTTACTAGAAAATAGCCCATTGTAGTTGTAGATTAGTGGACAGTAACACTTGAGTTTTCTGTTCAGTGGTTGACCATGAAATGATCAAAGTTGGTAAAGAATATGGAGGAGATGAAGGGTTGGGCAATCAAATGGTAAAAAATCGGTATAGAGTAGATTAGATGATGCAAGCCCTTCCCACACGAGTTGAACTGATTTGCATGCACGTATTTGCGGTCTTTTTGTATGTCACTCCTTGTCATATGAGTCTTCCTCCTGTTGCTTTGTAATTAATTGCTCAAGTCCGGTGGATCTGAATAATGTCATGCAATACTTCTAGGAGTGGACTCGGGCCGGGCCAACCGGCCCCGAACCGGACCGGCTCGCTACTGTGCGGGCCCGGACCGGCCCGGTGAGGTAGGCGGTTCGGGCCCGGGCCTCCTAAATCGTGAACCGGCCTGGCCGGTTCGGGCCCGGTCCGGTCCAATTCTTTTTCTTTTTCTTTTTTGATTTTTTTTTTAAGTTTTTGGGTTGGGCTGGGTATGATGGGCCATTTGAGGTGGTTTGGGGTGGTTTGGGGGTGAGGGGGGAGGGTTGGGGGTTAATTAGGAAAAGACAAAAAAAAATACAAGAACCAAGGCCCAGCCTGGCCCGGACCGGACCCGGGGTTACCCGGGCCGGTTCCGGGCCTCCCCTTTCATGAATCGAGGCCCGGCCGGGCCCAGGCCCGAACCGGGACCGAACCGGAACCGGTCCACCCCTAAATACTTCTATAAAAGTGCTTTAATCTCTTTTGGGCTTTTCATATCTTTTAGTGCTCTACATTGCTGTCTAGTAGCTATATGGTATGCATGGAGATGGTGTTTGGTACTTTGGTTGTGATACTTGGTTATGTTACATTGCTACTCTTATACTAGTATTACACTCGTGTGATGCACAGAATTAGTGGTGGACTCGGACTGGTTCGGGCCCGGTCAGGCCTCTGGTTTGTAATTGATGGGTCCAGGACCGGCCCGAGGTAAGGACGGTTCGGGCCAGGCCGGGCCACCCGCCCGGGTCACGGGTCGGGTAAATCCAATAGTATTTCATTTTTTTACTCATTTATACTTTATAGTTTAAAAACAAGTATTAAAAACAAACTTCAAGTGCATTTATTTGAAATGAAATAGGAACTACATTTGACAATTGAGAAAAAAAATACAATATGAAATACATTTTGTAATCAATCAGAATTTTTCGGTCCTTTGACTTTGTCACATGACTTAATATGCTTCTTGGCCATCCCGTATCCGCGTGAAATCTCCCAGCTACACTTTTTTCCGCATCATTTGCAAGTTGCGTATTACATCTTGGTCCTCGGGTCCTTCTGCGTATAAAAATTATACGCGATAACGGCATATTGATTTTCCATCTTAAAAATGGTAGATATAATAATTCTATAAATACTAGAATAGATGGAGATGAAGATGGAGATTGGAGATTGGATATTGGAGAAGATGTGTATAAAAATGTTAGAAAATAAGTGTATTTATAGAAATTTTTGTACCTCCACCGGCCACCCCCCACCCCCACCAATGGCCGTTTGGGGCCTTGAGGCTTGAGCCTTTGATTTCAATTGTTTTTGTTTATTTTAGTTTGAAATTTTTGAATAAATTACCTAATGTAAAATTAATTAATTTGAGAAGTGCTACATATAAAAAAATGAATGTATATTTAATAGAAATATGAACTACAAGTTTACAAGTTACAATTGAGAATTGAAGGAAAAATTAAAACATGAAATACTAATCAATCGAAATTTTCGGCATAGGTAGAGCCATCATCGGTTGTTGATTCATTCATAAAGTGTTGGGATGAGGTGATGTCAATTTCTTGAGTTCTACGGGTTGCCTTCAACCAATCATGGTAGCATATAAGCGTCTCAAGAGATTCTGCGCTCAACCTCGTTCTAGATTGCGTTAGGACATTGCCGACCGAATTAAATTTTTGTTCCACGTCAACTGTTGAAACCAACATTGATAACACTTGTTTAGTCATCTTTGCTAAAATCGGGAACATTCTTTTTTTTTCCCTTCCACCAGTTAAGAATAGGGATGGATTCGGGCCGGGTCGGGGCCGGGCCGGGCCTAGGCCCGGTCGGGCCGCCGGTTCAAGAAAAGTGGGCCCGGGACCGGCCCGAGGGTTGAACGGGTCCGGTTCGGGCCGGGCCACCCGCCCGGGTCACGGGTCCGGTTCGGGCCGGGCCGGTTAATTTTTTTTTTATATAATTTATATTTTATAGTTTATAGTTTTATACGAGTATTAAAAACAAACTTCAATTGCATTTATTTGAAATGAAATAGGAATTACATTTGAAAATTAAAACAAACTTTAAGAGATAAACATTTTGAAAATTGTAATCAATCGGAACTTCCTGCTCCCGATCCTTTGGCTTTGTCACATGACTTCATATGCTTGATTGCCATCCCGAATCCGTCTGAAGCCCCCATGATACATTTTTTTTCGCACCATTTGCAAATTGCGTACCACATCCCGGTCTTCGGGTCCTTCTGCTTATCAAAATTATACCGTATAATGGCATTTTGATTTTCCATCTTAACTTCTTGGAGAAGAGAATTAGAGAGTAGATATATAATATATTGGAGAATAAGAGAATTAGAGAGTAGAGAGTTAAGAATAGGATTTAGGAAGAATTGGAGAAGAGATATGAAAAAATGTTTAAGATTAGGAGTATTTATAGGTTTTTTTACCCCCCACCCCCCCCACCCCCCCCTACCAGCCAACCCCCCGGACCCCCCCCCCTTTACCCCACCCAACGGCTATATAGCCGTTTGGGTTGTCCCCAGCCCCCCCAACGGCTAGTAGCCCAAGATTTAATTTTTTTTTTTTAAAATAGGACCGGACCCGGGGCCGGGTCACATTATTCCAGCACCGAGCCCGCCCCGCCCCTTCCCATCGGTTCGGGCCCATACCCGGTCCCGGACCGCCCAACCGGGTCGGTCCCGGGCCCGCACAGTACCGGGCCGGTCCCGGGCCCGCACAGTACCGGGCCGGGCCGGGCCGGGTCACGGGCCGGGCCGGGCCGGGTCACGGGCCGGGCCGGGTCACGGGCCGGGTGGCCCGAACTGAATCCATCCCTAGTTAAGAACGTCAAAACCCCTGATGAGCTCTTCCTACTAAGCGCATCAGCTACTGCATTAGCATTGCCTGAATGATAGTCGATGATCAAGTTGTAATCCTTGATCAACTCCATCCATCTTCTTTGTCTCATGTTCAGCTCTTTCTGAGTAAACATGTACTTCAAACTCTTGTGGTCAGTGTAGATGTGACACAACTCTCTGTAGAGGTAGTGCCTCCAAATCTTTAATGCAAACACCACGACTCCTAGCTCTAGATCATGTGTGGGGTAATTTACTTCATGCTTTCTCAACTGCCGAGAAGCATAAGCAATTACCTTCCCTGATTGCATCAGTACATATCCAAGCCTTTGAATACTAGCATCACTGTAGATGTCATACCCTAACCCTTGCACGGGTAGAGCAAGTACTGGTGCCTCAGCCAACTGTTTCTTGAGTTCAAGAAACCCCTTCTCACACTTGTCATCCCACACAAACTTAGTCATCTTCTTAGTGAGCTTCATGAGTGGAGATGCTATCACCGAGAACTAGTTTTTAACCCATGCGTTGCACGGGAAAACATTTCAGCGAGAATGTAAGGATTTGAATGATAATAGAACTATAATTTAAACATTCGAAGGATAGAATTTAACATATAAGAAATGACATATGAAAAAAACCTATAAATTGTTATACACTTTTATAAACAACATTTAGAGCAGTATTGCTTGGTTGACCATCATTGTCACATAAATAAAAAAATTCAAATTAATTCCTATCGAGATTTAAAATTGCTTAAAATAAAAGTTGCCTTAAATTAAAACTGTCTAAGCAAATCATGCCTTAATTAGCAGAGTAACTGTTTAAGCAAACCAAGCAAAGTAAATATGGAAAATCTTATATGAAGGAAGGTTTAAAAATCATGCATATATCAAGGGGAGGATTGTGCCTTAAATTAATACTGTAAATAAATTCTACCTCAATTAATTATACACATGGCCTTGATTAAAACTGCTAAAAATAAAATATGTCGTAGATTAAAAAAGACCCTTTTTTATAAAAAAAACTAACTTTTGCAGGAAAATTGAGAAATTTCAGGTTAATATCATAAGAGAATAGGACCTACCCAAGCATACCACTTTCAGTTCCCCATTTTGTGTTTATATGCTTGATCACAGACCATGTCCTCTTCTTAGTAGTGAGTTCCAAAAATGGAATTAAACTCAGAATGCCAAAAAACCTGAAACAAACTAACATTGAAACTCATATGGCTAAAGTAGTGGAAAAAAGAAACATAGCAGTAGATTAATCAGATTATAACTTTAATGAATATGTAGATTAAAAAAACTGCATGAGATTAGAGGCTGTAGTTGAGATATATTATTTTTCCTAGGCCATTATTGTATTTTGAAATGTTATGGGAAGAAGAAAGTAATTGAAGAAGATTTGGGATGAAGACTGAGAGAACCATATCAAAGATATTGAAGAAGTAAACATATACCTTGTCAAAGTAAATGTGAAGCTTAAGAATTCTCAAAGTAAAGAAATTGGCTTTCTTAATTTTTCCGCAAATAAAAGAGAAACTAAATCTTTCATAGATAAAGGGCATGTAATTCAGCAGTAGTACAAAGCATTGAACCTTGACAATTAAAAGAGAAATCAGACAAAAGAAATAAGAGAAAGAAATATAACAGATGAAAGAAGAGTAAGAAGTGAAGCTTAGAAGCTTATATTATGCTAATGAATAAGATATGCTGAAAGATAACAAACTATCTTCTGTATCAAAGTGTTTTAGCCCATACATCACAATAATCTAGAAAATAAATCAAGAACATTAGTTTTAGTAGATAAGGTTTAAAACTTTACGTATGAATCGTATAACATCTATGTAAAGTTTAATAACATTAAGAAAGCTTTGAATTATAGATAGTTCAAGAAGTGTGAATGAATCTGGGGTCAAAATTCTTCTTAGATCTACAATGCAATGAAATAACACATAAGCACAGTTTCTAGACTTACAAAAAACACCACTAATTAAAGAGCATTAATCGACAATTAAGGTGGAACTAAGTATTACTTCTATCTTTTAACTTAGCTGGTTAAACAATTAACTATTACTTCTATTTCAGGTGAACTATTAATGGTGATTTTGTTAATACATGCCAACAACATGAATTAACACTCAACAATCAAGGTTATACCCTTTTTATTAAGCATATACTTATAAACAAAGCAACGGGTTTTTATTTACCTTACACTTCAGATTTCACTCTAGAAAAAAAAATTAACTTAACGGACATTGTTTAAGTAAAACAAAACTAAAGTTAGAAGCTAAATCTTTCTAGCAAAATCATTTTGCTAGCAGGAGACATGAGTGTTATTGTCTATCTGTTTGTGCTCCTTTTAGTGGGAGTATAGTCCCCTTTTTACTTCAGATCTTTTTTATTTCTTTTAGTTTTTGTTACTTTTTTCTATTGAACTCTTTCCGCTTGATTACAGTATGGTTGTTAAGAAAAACGACGTGGCCCGGTGGTAGCTTGCCCTTCCAAGGTGTGTTGCTCTTTTGAAGGTTACCCACCCATTCAATGATATGACATATGCCTAATCATTGGGTTTGTTTTGTATGGTGTGCTCTATCATGTACATTTGAAGATTTTTTTAAAACAAAAAAAGTTGAAAAGTTTTGTTTTAAGCAATTGCAAACACTCAACTCAGACTAAGAGAATCACATACGTTCAGCTCTATTTTAGTTCTTTTAGTT